GAAGTTTTCTCTCCTAGTAAAAAAGGCATTTCCGTTAAAAGAACAACAAAAATACTTGGATATGTGTTTCTCAGCCAATCTAATCTTGGCCTGAACTGAAAAAAAAGTCAATAAATGCAGATTTAGAGGTAATGTTACTTCCCAGGTCATGCGGAAGCCTTGAATTAATAAATTAGGGTGGAAAACTCCTTCCACTGAAAATCCAAGACAGCTGGTCCCTTTCTTCTTCATAATCACCAGCAATAAAAGCCTTGCAGGCTGACTAATGCCTTCCCTAATGCCTGGACAAAGCTTGTTTCCAGGTTCTGTGCTTCCTGAGCCCTGGGCAAGCCAAGGGCTTGACAGACCTCCCAAACCTGGAAGAGCCCTTGGGAAGGACCCTGACCTCCTCTCGCTGCCAGCTCAGCAATGCTGCATTAGCGGGAGGGAAAGGTAAGTTATAAATCACAGCCAGGAGCCCGAGTTAGCTAGGGTGTGTGCAAGAAAGGGTTATGCCATCCTGCTCCAGGAATAAGAGGCATCCAGTCTACTGGAGTTCACCATTCGATGCCTGTTGCGGGTGCTTGTCTTACTTTCCCAGTTCACTACCTGAACCACCTGGGTGGGGAAATATCCGAGAACTTTCCTTATAGTTGCAGAAAACACAGCTAAGGGTCCAGAGGTTATCTGTTGCTTTTTTAAGACCTCAGGGAGCTACGTGCTGCCCCTCACTTTCTGGCTTTCCTCTGAAAGTACCAGCAGGAAAACCCTCTCCCCAATTTTTTCATAACTGGTGAACATCATGCCCTTACTACAAAGCCTTGCCTGGCTGGAAATCTGCACCAGTGTAATTTAGGGCACATCGGCACATGAAAGTGAACTTGATTTAAGTGAGAGCATCACTTGAAACTGCAATAGCTTTTCTCAATTAACTCTGCATGTAGGAAAGACCTTGAAATGCATTTTAAACTGCTATATTAAGGCATTATAAAATCCTTTGTGAACACTATTATTCTGGCTCACTTTAAACCCGATACCCCAATCTGACATTAATACAAGGGTTGCGATCATGACTTAGTAAGACATAACTAAGCAGCTGAGTTGTGATAACACTTAACCCACTGCAATACAACACCCTGCCAGTGACTTTGTACCATTTCTGCAGCTTTTTCTTTTCTGATGCAAGGGCTGAGTCCTCTGCGACAAAAAGCCAGCCCTTTCTGCACATCCCCAAGTGCCATCCTCGCAGTGCCAGAAGCCCAGCATCCCACTGTGCACCACGCAACACGAGTGGACGACATGGCACGGTGTGGTCAGGGATACCAGAGTTATGTGCTCTCGCCGATTTGACTGCTGCAGGTCAAAATTAGTGCTACCAAGTACTCTAGTAAAGCAGATATTACTGGTCATGGTAGTTGAAGGCAAAATATTTTATGTCACATTAGTGCTGGGCTGGGTCTATGCATGTGGTTAATTAAAGAGGCTCAGCTAGAGAGTGGTAATTTGTTAAGCTGCATAACTTAACTGCTTGCAGTCATCTGCCTATCCCCACACTAAGCTCCTCCTAACATGAAAGAAGGTGTTGAACTGTGTCCGTTAAAATTTATTCTTTTGGCTACTGAGGTGCAACTTCTGCGTGCAGATAAGACAGAACCATTCCCCTTACGGTTATCGCATGTGGGCAGCTCTGTACACCAGCCCTCGCCAGCTCTGCTACCGACAAACAAGCAGCGCTATGGGAAGCCCCAATATTCAAAATTTACCTCGAAACTCAGCCTGACCTTTCTGTTCACAGCTGGCCGCCAACAGAGCCCTGCGGGCTGCAGAGACCCCAGCCACGGGAGAGCCAGGCGAGCCCCCCCTGGGCGGCAGCAGGGAGCTGGCATGCGCCTGCTCCTCCCCGCGGGCAGAGAGAAATCAAAGGCTGAGCCCTAAAAAATTAAAGAGCCTTTTCTGCTGTTCATCTCACAACCGCGTTTGTTCCTGTGATTAGCTGCAATCAGCCAGGACCGAGAAAGGACCTTGTGCCTTACAGAAGGGCCAGTGCCCCTGTGCATCCAGATACAGCAGTGTCCTGCAGGCAGTACTTTTTAACAGACTGAAAACTGGACTTTAATCCTAAGAAAGATCTGTTTTAAAATTCCCTCTACTGGCGAGAGGGTGGAAATTCAAGCTGCAAGGTTCAGCTCACCGAGCAATCCACATCCAGGCTTTGAGGGGCTGTGAGCTCTTGCCCTGGCCTGCCCAGGACCACCTCAGCCCACCTGGGAAAAAAAACAAGTGACCAGCTGGAAATTCCTATATCATTTCGTATTATCCGGAATTCTTATTTCAACGTCACTGAAAACTTTTAAAGACAAGCTTTTATTCATTAGAAATAAAACTAGGGGATTTTTTTTTTTTAAATGGTGTTTCATACTGAAAAATGAAACATTTTATTTTGCAATGTCAAGGCTGGCAGGTTTGAGTTGTTCAGAAGATGGCGATTGCCATGAAGTTTCCTTCCTGGCTACCGCCACGTCCTTTACGGCAGCTCGGCGAGCGCGCTCGCTCTCTCATCGGTGACAGACAAACCAGGACGACTTTATTGCTGATGTAAATCAGAGAAGCTCTGCTGGCTTCTGAGGAGCACTGCAGATTTATGCCAGGAGCTGACCCGGCATCTCTATTTTCAAAACTAGGGCAGATTGAAATACACTGTTTTTCAATAATATATTCAGGTTAACAGGGCTTTTATATTTGGGCAATTAATCTTGCATAGACTGAGAACCTCTTGGGACAATGTGCAAAGGTTGCTAAGAAGAGGAAAACAAACACAGTTGTGTAACTCACTTCTCCCATGTCTTTTCTTTCATGAAAACACATTGCAGTGATACGGCAGTGATCTGCAACCCAGCAGTAATATTACTTTAATAATCAGAAGCATACCAAGACATAGTATAGGAATGATTTTACTAAGAGGTAGTATTACCTCATCTTGTATTACTGTAACATTATTCAAACCAGAAATATTGAGACATAAATCTGTGGCAACAGAGGAAAACCAGTGTGGTGCTAGAGAAAGTCTTTCCGTTTTATTGCAGGACTGTTCCCTCCCGTGGCGTGTGCTCACATACAGAAGGGGAGGCCTGGGGCATGCACACACGCTTGTCCCGGTGTGTTTGTGCACGTGCTCGTACTATATTTAAAATCACTCTGGGTCCCAGTACTGATCCCTGGTCAGTGCCACCAAAGACTCTTCCCAAACCCGGTCCTTGTCTTTCTGCGCTCCCTCTCGCTGTCTCTTCGGCCTGTCTGCCCGGCAGCCCTCCTGCCATCTGCCAGCGTCTTCAACTTAATCATTACCCAATAAACACCGTAACAGATGCTATTCAGAAGTCCAGACCACTGAGGTGTACCACAACTTCTTGCTTAGGAAACAGACATCTGCCCAGGCAATGGCATCCAGCCTGCTGTGATCCACTTTGGGCAAAGCTGTTACCTATTATCCCATTTTTCCAGGTATCTCCATGTCTTTGATTCTCCCTTTCTTTGCTCTAAAGCTTGAGTAAGACTGATACATAACTTTTAGGCCTGTAATTGCCTCTGCTGGTTTTTCCTCTTTGCATTTGCTGTTCCCCAGTCATGCAGCATCAACCCCAGCTTCACAGATTTACCGAGATCCTTGTGATTTGACCCTTAGTTTTTAATTCTTCCAGCATATTAGACTCTAAAATGGCCTGGGAATACAACTGCTATATGCCAAGCAAACCAGTAATCATGGTTTTGTGCTCAAGCCCAGGGAAGGAGATACTACCAACTAAAAACTGTCGAACTGCTTGTTTTCTGACCAGGCTGCCAAAGCCTGGTGAAGGCAATGCTACCCAGCAATCTGCATGATGACCGCTTCAGTGGAGAAGTGGCTGACTGCAATGGAAACCATTCAGTCGCATATAGTAGCTGCATCGTTGCATGACAGAAGTTTCCAATCGCAAATAGCAACAGACTCAGAAAGGATATGCAGGTGGCTGCTGCTTGATTAATGTGTGCTGCATCTGTTATTTCAAAGTGGCAATTACACTATATAAACACACCACTGCAATAGCACTGCATTGATTTATGCTAGCTGAAAATCTGTCCCTTTACACTGGTTTTTTTTTTCTTTATTTCTCCTCCCACAAAAAATAATTTCCTTCTGAGCCCAGTAAACAGAAGATCTCATTGGTTCTATGTTATAATAGTAATATCGCATTCTGCTAGGAACCAGCAATTCTGCCTCTGGCCATGAAATTCAGGTAATGACCCATAACTGAAGTAAATTAGTGTTTAATTTCCCATCCCTTGCAGACAGCTTACTAACGGAAATTGATTTCTAGCTTTTTTCTTTTTAACATGCTTGTGTAATGTCTTTATTTTAGGTTCAAGTGGTTTCCAGCGAATTTTAGCCAAAACGCTAGTGTACAGGTGACCACCGAAAGCATCTGGTTAATCAATGTTGTGTTAAACTGTGCACAGGGGACCGTCATGGCAGGGACACCCTCGTACACCCAGCGGGCTCCTTCTGTCCTGCACTCCCACCTGTGGACACGCTCTGGGACAGGTCTTCAGGTGGAGTAAATCAGCAGAGCTCACAGCCATGTAACACGTACAGAAGTCCTGCTGTTATGGACCTGATCCCTTACGCACAAGCTCTTATACAATTACCATGGTCATTTGTACGTGACACACTTCAGTTTACGCTTTCACGTGCCCAGTGCACTCCCAGACAGACAAAAGGGTGCTTCTCTGTCCCATGCAGCCACCCTCCGACCTACAGGCGAGATGCCCTCAAACCAAGCCAAGAGCCTCAGATGTCACATCTCGGTGCCGTCTGGACCCAGAAGTCAGTCCTGCTCTCCGCACAGTTGCTCAACCACCACCAAATCCCCTGTAATTCTTGCCGAATGTGGGCTCTCTTGTGTAATCTGATACAGCCACCAGCGCACGCACACACACCCTTTTTTCTGCTATTTAGGTAAAACGCAGCCAACAATTTCTTCATTGTATAGCAGCACCAGCATTAGAGACAGAAGGTGGCCTTGGATGTCCAACCCTTTTTCTTTGCAAGGCAGAGAAAGGCAGTAAGAGAAGGTAAGGTTTTTTTACAGCTCCTACCCTGTTAAGTTATAACAGCTGTGAGACAAAACAAGGTTTTATAACAGTGTTGTGTTATTTTCAACCCTCAGTTATTTCTGCGGTCTCCCAGGTTAGTCTGGCAACTACAAAGGAGTAGGGAGGAGGGAAAAAATCTACTTTTCCCATTCTACTTTTCTGAAGTACTTAGGAGGAACCAGAACTCAGCTGGTGCTGTTTTACACTTTAAAAGCAGGACTAACAGCTATTATTTTTCTCAGTGTTCAGTTGATTTTCTGGTTCCATAAACACTTTAATAGCGCTATAAATTGTCTGGTAAAGGAATTGTTAGTTAGAGATGGTGTCTGGGGTATTTGTTCCTTATTGATGTGTAAATTGGCTTGTACTGCCAGTGTGCATTTCTAAAGATGAATGCTTTGTAGCATGATGATAATAATAACAATTAGCATAGGATATAGCAAAGTGTTAATTGTGAATTAAAATCCCAAACAGAGATGCCTGCACAGATCAGTCCTCTCCTTGTGCTTTCTGTTTCTCTGACCGGTGCTCAGAGCGCCGGGGACGTTTCCCTGGGTGAAGGAATTTTCTGTGCCTGCTTCTCTCTTCTTGCATTGCTAAAAAACAATCTTTCCCAAGTGCATTTGCTCAGGTGCATTTTGCACTTCTGCCAATAGCACAAAACTGCTGTGCTCCTGGCGAATCCTATGTGTCATCCTCGATGAATGCTAATTTGGGTTTAATTCCTTAATGGATCAAAAGGGAAGGTGAATATAGAGACCAAAGGAAGGAGGACAGAAGACTGGTAGGTTCAGAGCCCTATAGAGAAAAATGGCAGGGGATGGTATGAGACAGAGAATGAAATGCTAGATGTTATCCTTATCACAGCTGTCTTGTGTGGGAACATAATGTAATTATTAAAATAAATGTTCCTTCCCTTTATGCAAGAGGAAGACCGTGAGCAAATTAAGAAACTACTCTCGTGCCTCAGCTTACCTGCTTACAGAGGTGAGGATCCACCTCTGCCTGCTAGGGCTGCAGGGAGGATTAAACAAGATTCACTGAGCGCTTAAAATTTGCTGTAAGGATGTTGTCTTGTTATAGACCTCGTTTAAAATATAAATCCACGGTGAAAAATTGGATGAAGTCAGAATGGACAGGGTTTTCTGGGCATGATCTGTCTGGGTTTTCATATTCAGAACAGCATGCAGAGGAGCGAGAACAGCTCTGCTGAGATGTGTAGCCTCCATGAACATACATTAAAGTTTGTATGTTGTCTGACTTGGGCATTCGGAGGAGGAATGATAAAAGTAACTGCAGTCTTGTCTTCTAAGAATATAACCACCTTAGCTGAACCCAGCCACACGAATATTGTAAGAAGCCATGAGATAGCAGGGGGGAGCCACTTTGCTGGGTGGATCAAGGGGAAAAATGTAACCATGACAGAAATAATTACCCCCATTTCAGAGATCGGGAGCTGGGCAGAGAGAAGCCAGCAGCAGAGCTGAATACAACATTAAATACTTACCTTCTGCCTTAGAGACTAAAGTGGAATATGGGCAATTAGAGAAAAAGCTCGAAAGATCAAAGTAGGAAAAAATGTCCTTTTAAAGTGATAATCAATTATTGTTTTTAACTGACAGCAGGCAAAAGGCTACTTCAAGCCACCAAGGAAGGATGTGGGCTTATACCGTTGGTTTTACTGTCCTGCCTCACGTTGGAGGTTTCTTTGGCTGGTTCATTAATCGAAAAGAAATACCTGTTTGGTATGAGAAGCTGAAAAAACCTTCATGGTGTCCACCCCGCAGAATATTCCCTGTTGCTTGGACTGTCCTGTACACTGGCATGGGGTAAGTTCTGCATACCACTCCCTCTCTCATCCTGCTGTTTTTGATACACAGAAGAGCAGCCATTTCAAACTCTTTCATTTGCTTTTGGGATAGCCCTTGTACCCGAATCAGCAGGGCATGTCAGGTATGCTTATTCCCAGCAGATGAAGTACAGCCTGAGCCAAATTCTGGGCCGAGTTCCTCAGATTCACACTGCAGGCAACGCTTTTGGCCAGGGACACAGCCCGTGCTCAGCTTTGTAAACAGATACTAAAAACAGCCGCTGCCCTGGGGAAGTTGTACGAGCCATGCAGGTATGAGGCAGGCGATGGATTTGGGAGTAGCGAGGGACACGGATGCAGCTGCCGTGCAAATATGACTGTCCTGCAAATCCCTGTTGCGAAACAATCTTACATGAAAAGTATCAGGGATTTACTCACTGCAAAACACTAATGCGTTTCCCTCTTCACAGCTATGCCTCCTACCTGATATGGAATGACCTGGGTGGCTGCAGCAGCAAAGCTATCGTCCCACTTGGCCTCTACGGGGCTCAGCTGGCCTTGAACTGGGCTTGGCCTCTCTTCTTCTTTGGTGCACGTAACCTGAAGATGGTAATGTATCTGGCCATCCATTCATCTGCTGGAGGCTTGTTTGCTGGTGTCCCTGCCACAGGGGTTTTGGGGTTGTTTGGAGGTTTCCTAACTAGCATTATGCAATTGTAAAGAGAGCTGCAGGAAGAGCTTTTGCTCATATACAGTTCACGCTGCACCTGGTTCTAGACAATGCTATCAGTCCCTCCCACCCTTCACCCTGCTCCTGCCATGCAGATAGCCGGCCCGACCAGAGCAGGGTGGGAGATCAGGAAGTCAATAGCCCAGCTGCTGCATCTCCTAGTTAAGGATTCGGGGCTAGAGATAAGTCCTGGGAGTCACACCCTGCGCCGGCAAGCAGCAAAGTTAGCATCCCTATGGGGGCATATTAGCTGTGAGTGGCTTATTGAGCAAATACAAGGCACTGTGCACTGTAGAGCCCGTTAGAGGATACGCACGAAGGTAAGGCATGGCACGGCAGAGGCGGACTTGTGATATATTCAAAAAGCACTTACCTGAGGTGCCAAGGCCTGGAGGTGGCGGAGGTGCAGAGTAGGACTTAGGTTTCCATCTGAATTTTGTCACTCTGTAGATGAAAGGTACATTTAGAAAGTTTGTTAAGTGGTAATAGCTATTGGTACTAACACAAGCATGTTTCTGACCTGTCTGCATTGGCATTATCAGCAGAAGGCAGCACTGACTATCATAAACAGTGTATTAATCTGCAGAACTCGGTAATGAACAAAAAAAATTAACATTAGTCTTGGCTCCTGGTGTGATACATTCAGATCTCACTGACTAGAGTTCAGAGCCAAGGTCCTGGGGTTTAGGATCACTCTAGGTGACTTTTCAGTGCTCAACCTCCCCCATTTCTATTCCATCTCACCACCTTTAGTAGGACGGTTTATAGTCGTGCTGGGGAAGACTGCCGCGTGTTCCTAAGAGTGAGCACCACAGTCATTGTCTTCTCTCTGCTCCAGGCACTGATCGACATCCTGTGCTTGGACGGCCTGGTGATAGGCACGATGTGCTCCTGGTACCGCATTAACAAGATAGCAACGCTGCTGATGGTGCCTTACCTGGGCTGGCTGGCCATGGCGACTTGTCTCACAATCCACATCTGGAAGGACAACCCTGAGCAAAAACCAGGAAAGAGTGAATAAGAGCAGGACAGAAATGAAGGCATTTTGTGAAACTAAACTATGCTGATGTGAACCAAGATCTAATAATTTGGGGGATTCATTTTGGGACAGGCATGAGAACGTGACTCCTCCTCCCACCTTCATCATGGTTGTGTAAAGGAAAGGTTTGCACCATGCACCCGTGTGCTCCTTTAAAGTAACCGTGCATCCTTAACGTGGGAACTATTTTCTCCAGCACTGTTGAGTTTGGGGCTACAGCTGTATGGTGACCTTAATGCTATCAGGTCAAATTCCATTAGCCAAATTAGGATCTCATGATACGAGCGTAATTCAGAGTATCAATCCTGGACACCCCTCGAAACTGCTACCGTTCCCCCAGAGAGCAGAACTTGTTCACACACGTGGTAAATCCCATCTCCTCTCCTGGGACCAAACAAAAATGCCCTTCACTCATGCACACCAATTTTTAAGAACTTACTTGATTTTTTGCTATTTGTGCTGTTGCTTCATTTTCATGTATCGCCCGGTTTGTGCTTTATACCATTAACTTTTTATCTGTCGGCTACTGAGCAAGCAGTAATCTGTCTTGTTCTGCTAGTGAAAGGAAACTGGGTACTTTGACTTCTATTTGTGGAGTATCACACTTCTTGAGTTTCATGCTCCAAGATAAAGCAGCAATGATTAGAATGCAAATGCTTCTCCCAAGAGGAAATTTCTCTCTTCCACCTCTGTGTGCTATTCCTCATCAGAAAAGAAAAACAAACATCAGTGCCTTTGAAAAAAATACTTTAAATGTTTTGGTTTTTTTTTTTAAGTACGGAAACACAAGAGCCTTTGTAAAATTTAAGAACTTGCTCACACTGCCTTGAAGGTTGTAATTACAAGATTGTCAAAAAGCCCCATGCCAAGTCTGTCAGGTGCAGTACAGGTCCCAGAGTCTTTCCATTCCTGAATATTATTAATCAGGAAAGGTTAAAATACAAATAGTTCCAGAGAAATGGGACCAAGCCATGACAGAATCGGACACAAAAGGTGCATGGACTAGCCCTTGTCCATCCTTTATTCTGGCCCTTACCTTTGATAGATCTGAACCTTAGATGTTGCTGTATACAGAGAATATTTACTATTATTTTTTAATTGATAGAAGCAATGTATGTGAAGAAAAGTGGTAGGTGGATCTTCTTTCTGGCAGCTGACTGTAGATTAAGGTGGGTGCGTATACTTGCAAAGGGTGGGGGTAGGAGGGCTTAGCTGGGGATGTAAAATAAATTGTATTTGCTTTTAATAAAACCAAGCCACTTTTGTTTGGAGAATAAATAAATCCAAGTTATTCTTGTTTTACTGGTGTGGTGCTAGGTTTGCAAAAACTTGGGGGATCCTGTCTGGAGTCCATGGCTTGTGCTCTGGCTCCAAAGGGAAGGGGATTGGCAGCAAGGCTCTGCAGGGCTCCGGCGGCCAGACTCATTCCTGGATGCACGTTAGAAGTAAATGGGCTGTGTGGTTTTTGAGCCTAAAGGTCCCAAAGGTTCCTTCAGCTGGGGCACCTGCACAGCGTAGACATGCTCACTTGGGGATGCATCCCTGTGACAGGCTCCCCCATTATACTTCACCCACAGCTTCAAGGTAAGGAAGCTAATCCTTGGGTTTGGGGTCCTTCCTGAATCACGTCAAGCCTGATTTTTAGAGATGCTGAATGTTCCCAGGTCCAACTCATGTAAATGGCAGAGCTGGGTGTTCAGCATGACTGAAAGCTGGGGCCAAAAGAAACAACACCAGTAGCTGAGAGCAGTTGAAATTTAGAATCATAGAATCGTTTAGGTTGGAAAAGACCTTTGAGATCATCAAGTCCAACCATTAACCTAGCACTGCCAAGTCCACAACTAAACCATGTCCCTAAGCACCACATCCACACATCTTTTAAACACCTCCAGGGATGGCGACTCAACCGCTTCCCTGGGCAGCCTGTTCTCTTGAAGGCGGTCACGCCCTACATCCCAAGTGCTCCTCTTCAAGTCCCAAATGGTAAATCACCTCGTAGGGGCCAGCTGTGTCACATCTACAGGGGTTCTGGGCTCTTTGGTGAAGAGCTAAGGTGCCTCTTTGCCTGCTGGTGCTGCAAGTCATGGGAATCATCGCGTTTAGGGCAGCTGGGGAAGAAATAAACTTATGTGTAACATGTGAGTGAGGAGTCTCTGACCACCGATCTTAGGTACCCCTGGTTCCA